GGGAAGGAGGGAGGAGGTAAGTGAGAGAGGGAGAAGGAACTGGGATCGACATGTAAAATAATAAATTAAATTTAAAAAAATGCTTTGACTCCAAAATTTAAGTTCAAGGACAAGTTACTGGGGAAAGGATTTCTATTTTTGTTTCCACAGAAAATGAAAATGATTCCTTCCAGACTAATGTGGTTTGATCAAGCCAGACCACCTGAAACAGAGTACCAGGTGATCCTACATTCAAACAGCTGGACAAAGCAGCCTTGCAGACTACAGCCAGGATTTCTGCATCTTCTTAGGATCCCCCATGACAGTGCCCCTTACCAGCAGGAAGTAGTTTGGAAAGAACGACGCCCAAATTTCCAAAGATTGTCTATAAATGTTTGTTTTCATTTAAATGGACTTGGAGATATATATATATATATATATATATATATATATATATATATATGACACAGGCTAACAGAATAGATATGAAGACATAATCCATCCTTCTGCTGCATACAAGAAACACATCTAAGCTTCAAAGATAGACATTACTTCAGGGTAAAGGGTTGTGAAAAGATCTTCCAATCAAATGGACCCAAGAAGCAAGCAGGTGTAGCTATCCTAATATCTAACAAGTTAGACTTCAAACCAAAGTCAAGCAAAAGAGATGAAGAAGGTAATTTTGTATTCATCACAGGAGAAATCCATCTGTACAAAGTCTCAATTTTGGGCATCTATGACCCAAATACAAAGGCACCCACATTCATAAAAGAAACACTCCTAAAACTCAAAGCTAACATAAATCCTCACACACTTATAGTGGGAGACTTCAACACACCACTCTCACCACTACTCAGGACCACCAGACAGAAACTTAACAAAAGAACTAACAGAAGTTTTGTCTGAATTGGGTTTAACAGACATCTATAGAACATACCATCCAAAAACAAAATAATATACCTTCTTTTCAGCTCCACATGGATCCTTCTCTAAAATCGAGCACATACCAGGCAACATAACAAACATCAACAGCTACAAAAAAAAATTGGAATAGTCCCCTGTATCTTATCAGATCACCATGCTTTAAAGTTGGAATTCAACAAAAACACAAATTCCAGAAACCCTACATACTCATGGAAACTGAACAATGCGCAATTGCAACAAACCTGGGTCAAAAAATAAAGAAAGAAAGAAATAAAGACATTATAGAATTCAATGAGAATGAAGACACAACATACCTGAAAGCAGTGTTACCAGGAAAGTTCATTGCACTAAGTGCCTATATGAAGAAAACGGAGGACAGTCACATGAGAGAATTAACAACACAACTGAAAGCCTTAGAACAAACAGAAGCAAACTCACCATGGAGGAATAGACACCAGGAAATATTTTGAGAGGTGAAATCAATAAAATAGAAACCAGGAAAACAATAAAAAAAAAATCAATGTAACAAAGAGTTGGTTTTTCAAGAAAATCAGTAAGATAGATAAACCATTATACAAAATAACCAAAAAGCAAAGAGAGAGAACATGCAAATTAACAAAATCAGAAACAAAAAGGGGAATGTAACAATGGACACAGAGGAAATCCAGACAATTTTCAGGTCATACTTTGAAAACCTGTACTCCACAAAATCTGAAAATTCAAAGGAAATTGACAAATTTCTGGATAACTATTACTTACCAAAATTAAATCAAGAACAGATCAGAAACTTAATTAGACCTATAGCCCCTAATGATATAGAAGCAGTCATCAAAAGCCTCCCAACCAAATAAAGCCCAGGGCCAGATGGCTTTAGTGCAGAATTCTACCAGAAATTCAAGGAAGACCTAATACCAATACTCCTCAAATTGATCCACACAATAGAAGCAGAATGTTCATTACCAAACTCTTTTTTATGAGGCCACAATTACCTTGGTACCCAAGCCACAGAAAGACACAACTAAGAAAGACAACTACAGACCAATATCCCTCATGAATATTGATGCAAAAATACTCAATAAAATACTGGCAAATCAAATCCAAGAACACATCAGAAAAAATCATCCACCATGACCAAATAGATGTCATTCCAGGAATATAGGGATGGTTCAACATATGAAAATCTATCAATTAGATCCACTATATAAACAAACTGAAAGAGAAAAACCACAGTATCATCTCACTGGATGCTGAAAATGCCTTTGACAAAATTTAACACCCTTTCATGATAAAGGTCTTGGAGAGATCAGGGATAACGGGAACACACCTAAACATAATGAAAGCAATATACAGTAAAGCAACAGCCAACACCAAACTGAATGGAGAGAAGCTTAAGGTGATTCCTCTAAAATCAGGAACAAGACAAGGCTGCCCACTTCCTCCACATCTCTTCAATATTGTACTTGAAGTTCTAGATAAAGCAATGAGACAACAAAAGGAAATCAAGGGGATTCAAATTGGAAAGGAAGAAGTCAAACTTCACTATTTGCAGATGATAAGGTAGTTTACATAAGTGACCTGAAAAACTCTACCAGGGAACTCCTACAGCTGATAAACAACTTCCGCAAACTAGCAGTATACAAGATAAACTCAACAACAACAACAAAAAATTAGTAGCCCTACTATATACAGACAACAAAGGGACTGAGAAAGAAATCAGAGAAACATCACCCTTTACAATAGCCACAAACAACATAAAGTATCTTGGGGTAACACTTACCAAACAAGTGAAAGACCTATATAGCAAAAAACTTTGTGTTGTTAAAGAAAGAAATTAAAGAAGATACCAGAAAATGGAAAGATCTCCCATGCTCCTGGATAGGTAGGATAAACATAGTAAAAATGGCAGTCTTGCCAAAAGCAATCTACAGATTCAATGCAATCCCCATTAAAGTCCCAGCACAATTCTTCACTGACCTTGAAAGGATAATGCTCATCTTTATATAGAAAAACAATAGACCCAGGATAGCCAAAACAACCCTGTATAATAAAGGAACCTCAGGAGGCATCACCATCCCCAACTTCAAGCTCTACTATAAAGCTATAGTGCTGAAAACAGCCTGGTATTGGCACAAAAATAGACAGGTAGACCAATGGAATCAAAAAGAAAATCCTGATACTAACCCACACACTTATGAACACCTGATTTTTGACAAAACAACTAAAAGTATACAGTGGAAGAAGGAAAGCATCTTCAACAAATGGTGCTGGCACAACTGGATGATGTGTAGAAGACTGCAGATAGACCCATGTCTGTTGCCATGCACAAAACTCAAGTTGAAATGGATCAGACCTCAACATAAATGCAGCCACACTGAACCTCTTAGAAGAGAAAGTGGAAGGAACTCTTGAACAGATTGGTGCAGAAGACATCTTCCTGAGCATAACTCCAGTAGCACAGACACTGAGATGGACAATTAATAAATAGAAACTCCTCAAACTGAAAAGTTTCTGTAAGGCAAAGGACACAGGTGACAAGACTAAATGTCAGCCCACAGACTGGGAAAATATTTTCACCAACCCTACATCTGACAGAGGGCTGATCTCCAAAATATACAAAGAACTCAAGAAACTAGTCACCAAAACACAAAATTAAAAAATTGGGGGACAGAAATGAAGAAACAGTTCTCAATAGAGGAATTCAAAATGGCTGAAAGACACTGAAGAACTGGGATTGATATGTAAAATAAGAAAAAATAATAATAAAAAGAAATAATAAATACGCATAGCAATGGATACCATCATAGAATTGGATTTTTCACCTTTACATTATTGAAAAAGGAGGTACCCATGAGGCTGTACTCCTTCCTGAGAAGCTGTTGACTATTAATAGTTGTTGTGGTGGTGGTGGCTTTCCTTCTCTTCAGTGTGTACACAGTATTGCCACTTGAGGACTTTTTGGGAAGAAATAGAAGGAAATGAAGGAGAAAAAACAAATCTTAGCGGAGGCTGACTGTAGTCATAACACTATGTATAAAATTATATACATACATACATACATATATTCAGGAGGCCAAACGTGGAGGCATATGCCTTTGATCCCAGCACTCAGGAGGTAGAGGTAGGCAGATCTCTATGAGTTTGAGGCTAACCAAGTCTACAAAGTAAGTTCCAGAACAGCAAGAACGGTTCAACAGAGAAACCCTGTCTCAAAAGCCAAAATAAATAAATAAGGAAGTAGGTATTAAACACACGAGCATACAGAACAAAAGTTCAGTATACAATAAAGAACATGAAAGCAACAGAATATCAATGGATGGCAGGAAAGAAAGAAAACCTGCAAATATCAATGCTACAAGGAAAGGAAAAAAGAACTACAAAGTAGCCAACCATCCAGAACAACAAACAAAAGGACACAGAGAAAAAAAAAATCAAACCCTTTTCAAATTATAACCTAGAATTTAATTTAAATTATCTTTTCTCACCAATTAAAATAAACAAATTTAACTATTATATTAGAAAAACATAACCTAACTATCAGCTTTTTCCAAGAAAGACACTTAGCTTGGAAAGACATCTATAATCTAAGGGTCTGAACTAAAAGTCAAACTATCATGCAAACCAGAAAGCACAAACAAACTATTGTAGCAACTCTCAGATCTGGTGAAGTTGCCTTCAAACCAATACTAATCAGAAGCAATAAAAGGGGCCATCACATTTTGATTGAAAGGAAACCAGTTCACCAACAGGACATAATGATTGTAGATATTCGTGAACCAAATATTGGGGCCTTCGAATCTATAATGTGGTCATGATATGACATAAAAAGCCTGTATAGATAGGTTTAGCTACAACTTAATGAAAGACTTATATATCCCACATACATATCTAGATAGATATTCCAAATTCAAAAGATTAACATAACACCCTCAGAGTTAATTATTCAACAAATCAATTGGGCTTTATAAATGTTATAGGATGTTCTATGTAATAGATATGGAATACACATTCTCATGTTGCATCAAACCATCTTGAAAATGAGCACATTATAGGGAGCAAAGTAAAACTTAATAAATACAAAAGAAAGAAGAATGACATACCTGCATCGTATCAGATCATAGTGGGTTAAAACATAGCAAGATCATAGCAAGATCAACCTCAGAAATACAAATAATTGGAGACTGTCTCAGTTAGGGTTTCTATTCCTGTGACGAAACATACCATGACCAAAAAGCAATCTGAGATAAGGAAAGGGTTTAATGGCTCACAATTCCACATTATGGTCCACCACTGAAGGAAGCCAGGACAAGAACTCAAGCAGGGCAGGATCCTGGATGCAAGAGTCGATGCAAAGGCCATAAAGGGGAGCTGCTTACTGGCTTGCTCCTCATGGCTTCCTGAGCATACTTTCTTATAGAACTCAGGACCACCAGCCCACAATGGGCTGGGCCCTTCCCCATCAATTACTAATTAAGAAAATTCTCAACAGGCTTGCCCACAGCCCAATCTTATGGAGGTATTTTTTCTCAGTGGAGGTCTCCTCATCTCATATTGAGTATAGTTTGTGTCAGGTTGACATGAATATTGAATGAGCAATGAGTCACTGAAGAACCCAGAGGAAATTAAGCTCTTAGAGTAAATGAACTTCTTGTACACAGCTAAGGAACCTCTTAGGAACATTCATAGCTCTAAGAGGTTTCCCAAAGGACATAAGCTGGCCTGGTTTTGTGATGTCTCTGTCTCAGCCTCCTGAGACCTAAGAATCTTTTCTGTTTTTCTTTCGTATCCTTATCTCTTTCTGTTCTGCATTTGCCACAATAGCTTCATCCCTCTATGCTCCCCACTGGTTACCTCTTCAATTTACTTTTTCTGTCAATCCTCTAGTCTCATGTTGCTTTTCACTGATACCTGGAGTAGCTAATAACTCACTGTAGGACATAGCACCACAGCTCCTTTATATTTTAGCAGGAACTGATTATATCTGGTGTTCATAATGGTCTGATTATCTGTGTGTTCATTATGCACTTACTATAGTGGTTGTATTATATAGTCACTGTTCTATTTTCAGTAGAGTATTGGGATCTGAACCTAAATGGGCCAAGGATATCATTTATTAAAGTAACAGCTGAACCATATTGCAGTCAAATTCTTCTTGAACAGTGTAAACACTTCAGTTGAAAGAATAAGGGATGTAAAAAAACAAACAAACAAAAAACCTCTTACCAACACAAATTAAGAAGTCAAACTATCTCTATTTGCAGATGATATGATACTATACATTTGAGGCCAAATTGTGTCAGAAAACTAAAAGTAAGAACAGTCAGTAATGTGTCAGGATATAGAATCAATAGCTTTTCTATAGACCTACAGCAAACATACTAAGGAGATCATGACTGTTTTAATGTGTGTTTCAGAGCTCTATTTCCAGTTAGCTTATTTCCTAGACCACCTGCAATTCACTTCCAAATTATAATAAAATACATTTTAGAAAACAACTCTCTCAAATTATAGCTTCTGGTTCCTTTTTACATGTATATATTTTGACTAATGATCATGAATGAAGTTGTTAACATGTACTTAGTTTCATTTTGGCTTTATGTAAGATAAAGTTTTAAAAGTTCTTTGTTTTAAAGGAGACCATGGAAACACCCCTATTCACAATAGCTTCAAAGAATATTGAATATATAGGAATAAGTCTAACAAAGGAAGGAAAATCCTTTGCAATGAAAACATTAAGACCCTGAAGAAAGGGTCTAGAAAATAGGAAGACATCATAGAATTAACATTGCAAAAATGAACATTCTATCAAAAACTATTTACAGATTCAGTGTAATTCCAATCAAATTCCCACCTCATTTTTTTCACATAAATAGAAAAAAAAACTATCATAAAGAAGGAGGTGCCTGGGCAGGAGAGACAGTTCTGTGGTTAAGAGCACCTGCTGCTCTTCCGAGTTCAATTCCAACCAACCTACATGGTGGTTCACAACCATCTATAATGGGATTTTATGTCCTCTTCTGGATGCAGGCATACATGCAGATAGAGCATAAATAATAAATAAATGAATCTTTTAAAAGTAAATTAAAAAAGGAGGTGCCTATCAAAGTACAACAGGCATACAGAACACCAAATAGACAGGACCAGAAAATAAATTCCCCATGACATGTAATAATTAAAATGGTAAATGTACAAATGAAAAGATGTTAAATATAAAGGCAGACCCATTAGAATAACACATGATGTCTCAACGAAAACTCAGAAAGTCAGAAGAGCCAGACATGTTTTTACAAGTGCTGAGATACTACAGATGTCAGCCAAAACTACTGTGCCCAGAAAAACTTTCAAGCACAATAGACAGATAAAGTAAAACATTCCATGATAGAACAAACTTGAACAGTATCTATCTATCTATCACTGTGGCTCCACAGAAGGCACTAGGAGGAAAACTTCAGTCTGAAGTTTTGCCCAAGAAGGTATAAGGAATAAATAATCCAAGAATAGTAAATGGGGGGGGTGTAACCAAATTATAACAATCATGTAACAAGAATAAGTAAACACTATTTACTAATAACTATCCATATTAATTATCTAATTTCCCCAGTAAAAAGATACACAGTAACAGATTGGATTAGAAAACCACATCCATCCTCCTGCTGCACCCAATAAGCACACTTCAATATCAAAGATAGATATCACCTCAGGCTGAAAGTAGGATAAAGATATTCCAAGCAAATGGGATTCAAGAAGCAAGCAGGACTAGCAATTTAATATCTAACCAAATAGAATTCAAACTGAAAGTATTCAGAAGAGATACAAAGGAAACTCGTCAAAGAAAAAATTCACCAAGAGGATATTACAATTTTATACATTTATGCACCAAATAGAAGAGCAACAAAATTCATAAAAGAGACACTAGTACAGCTAAAATCTTATATTGACCTGAGACAGTGATAGTGGGTTATTTCAATGCCTCACTCTTGTCAGTAGACTGGTCATCCAGACAAAAAGTAAGCAGAGAAATGCAGTAGACAAATAATGACATAAATCAAATGAATCAATCAGAGATCTACAAAGCATTTCACCCAATCACAAAAAAATGCACTTCTCAGAAACTCGTGGAAATGTCTCCAAATTGACCATGGACACAAAGAAAATCTCAACAGAAACAAGGAAATTGAAATCACACCCTGCATCCTATCTGACCAACCCGTATTTAAGTTGAATATCATCAAGAGAAATTTTATCAACTCATGGAACTCAACAACTCACTACTGAGTGAAAAATAGGTCAAGACAGAAATCAAGAAGGAAATTAAAATGTCACTAGAACTGAATGAAAAGGAATATACAACATGTTCAACTTATGGAGCACAATGAAGGTAGTGCTAGCCCTCCACAACAGGAAGGCCCAGAAGACACGCCCTTCACTAATCCTGTCAGACATAAAATGGTGAGATGGGCACCAGCACATCAAAGAACTTTGTTGTCATCCCTTTCCTTGTGCCAGACCTTACGGTTGGAGATGCTGCTGCTCAATTGAATGAATTAAATGCAGTGGGTTTAATTGGGCCCCAAAGTAGCATGGCTTTATTAGATTATAAGTGATATATCACCACAATTTCCCTTTTTTGTCTAATACAAAAAGTAGGCTATAGTTAATATAAGAAAAACACACACAATAAATATAATAGCTATATATAATATATACAGTCAGTAAGTATCAACAATGTCTAGTCCATTGCATTTGACAAATTCAGAGAAAATACTTCATTATCTATCCTATCTTGGTGAGTCAAAAGTCTTGTGCATAATTTACTTTCTATTCTAATTTGCATTATCAAATTATCTTTTAATGTCTCTCAACCTTTTACACTTTACACCTCTTTGGTGAGTTTCTTTTCTGAGTCTGGTAAACTACACCTATATTATCTAGGCTTCAACTCCTTCAGAGACCCGTGAAGGAAATAATATTAACTGAGTAAGCAGGAAGTACAAGCAAATGACTTTCAAAAAAATGTGAGAAGTGACAAACACAGTGGTTGCCTGGACAGTCAGCCAATGTTCTTCTACAACATTGAGGCATCAATCTTCAGCATATAGGCCCAGCATATCTGATAGGTTTTTCTATGAAGCAAGATTTTTGAAGGACTGTCCTGTCTTGTCTTGTCAAGTTTCTGCAGTCACTTTCTTTCTTTTTTTTTTTTTTTTTTTTTTTTTGTCCTGTTTGTCCAGTTTGGACAGCATATTTTCAGCAATTGAGGCAAAGGCACTTTCTTGCCCAGTGCCTACTATTGCCCCAAAGAAAGTAAACTCCATGTGGTATTTCTTCAATGTCCATCATCTTCTCTGTAGTAAATTGGTGCTTCCAGGAGCAGACATGTCATAAAAAAAGAATCTATGTTATTAAAATATCTTAAATGTCACGCTTTGTAGATATCTGTAGTGTTTAAAGATGAACTGTCTTTCTAAAATATTTCTGTTTGATCTTGAAAGCATACCTAATATGTTCATTTGTAATAGGTGAGTAATAACTAACCTGCATTTCTTTGTTATCCTAAATAGTTGGTAATAATAACTTTCAAGGACTAGAAATTTGTATTATATATATGTATATATAATATGTACATATATATATGTACAATAGCTTGAAAAAGACTAGAAACATGTGCAGTATGTTTTAACAAAATTAATCTCAAATTTGAATCAATTTATAACATTTTTATACAATATACCAAAGTACAATCCTATGTAAAATATTTAAAACTAGTAGTTGCTTTTTAAAAGTAGATTCAGTAATCTACCTTTTATCTTATCATATCTATATCCTCCCTTTTTTCTTTTCAGAGTAGATTCAATAATCTACCATTTTTATCCTAGCATATCTGTATCATCCCTTTTCTGACCATTACCAATCCCCCAATCAATGACAAATATTCGTAACTTATTGAATGACCAAAAACCACCCACCCCAACTCTTGGGAATGTGGATGTCATGTTCTTAAAGTTACTTCCTGCTGTCTAGGGCAATAGCATCTATTTGGGGATACTGAAAAGAAAATTTTAGGTTGTTAAGTCCTGGGAGATAGTGCTGTATCCTTTTTGTCCAG